GGGGTGAGGCGTTTGAAAAGGACCGTCTTTGAAAACGCGCGCGGCGCAAACACGGCCATTTGATTGGTGCATGTTGAATTACTCGTTTTGGATTGGCGGAATATTTTGGTATGGAGACCGAAAAAGACCAATGAAGAGGCGGTATCCTCGGGAAAGCGTTGACTGCACCAATCATCGAGCGGCTCAAAAACAGAAGGAGCATAATTTGGCGCCAAGTTTGGGCGGCAATTCCCCTCGCGGACGAAAAACAAATCCTGCGATTCGTGGCAGTTTGATCAAGAAGCATCCATCAGTCTGATCCAACGGCAATCGAGGATATCCTTTTCGATACGATAAATCATTTCACCTTTGCTAGCACTGGTAGACGCAAGAGTGTGCATTGAATGCGTTATGCTCGTCTCCGTTTAGCTGTAGTGAAGGTGTGCATGATGGCACAATGGCAAGTTTCCGTGAGAGAACGCGAAAAAGCGGCGGAAGGTAACGAATGTGTTTCGCTCGATGCATATCTGCCACGTTGTAGGATCTCATTTGAGCCGTTGCTATAGAAAAGGTGAGGAAATGTCCCGAGCCCATCAGTCGTCTAACTAGACCACGCGGGTTTCCACCAACGACTTGAGAGCCCAACAACGCGATGTCTTCTTGCACCCTCACTTTTGAACTGATCATGCACGGCTACTCCCTTCTGTCCGTCTTCGCAATCGCCTCGGCCGTCACAGCCCAGCAGTTCAAGGGCTGCACGGTCGATGCCGACTGCTTTAGCAACTTTCACTGCAAGCCGACGGTGGATGGTGCCTTCTCCATGTGCCAACCCGGCGCGCGTCATGGTCCCATGCCCCCTGTTGTCCCGAAATGCGTGTGGGCGCATGGCCAAATCGTTTGTGGGCGTCCGCTCGAGTAGTTTGCGCCATAGCACACTACCGGTACTACGATAATAAACTCGTCGCACAGATTTCTCCCGTGATGCAAAGCTACTGACAAACCGAAATTTACGTATCTCGATCGCTCCAGTTGTGCTAACCAAAGCTGGGGCGAGAGCGGCGTGCTCAACACATCCCGTGCCATGATTGAGGTAGCTGCTTCGTCCCTCACGACCTCTCCTGCATGAGGCCACCACCGCGTTGACGCCATCGCTCGTCCGTCGTTGGACTCTGGCTTGCATCGAGCAAGTGACGTGCAAAGGTGCCTTTCAACGCCAAGAGCCTGATCGTAGAGATCATCGAGCTGTACCACGTTTGTTGTCAAGTTAGCTCAACAAGGAACCTGCGAAGGAATGAAATCATGCCTCCACCACCAGCAAGGCTGCTTAAGAAAGAGCCCTACATTAGGGGCCTCGGCAAGGATGACGGACGACGCCAAGTTTGGCCAGCTATTCATTGTGGCCTCCACGGCATGTTCATGCATTGGCCATGCCCAAGCGAGACGCAGCCTGTGCATCCGGGCTTGGGATACCACCAATTGGTTTCATCGAAGACCATGCAACCAAGTACTTCAATAGCACCACACGCTACAGGCTATCGCATACTCTTGTAGTGCTTCCGTCTGCCCACTGCATGGCCTACTAGTAGGCCAGTGCGACAACTAGTCTCCTCGGCGCTTCTCGCGCGTTCGGAATGCAGCTCGATATGTAGCGTGTTGTTGTTCAGCAGAAAAATAGCTACTGGTACTGCACCTTCAGCTGCAGCCTCGCTTGGATATAGCCCACGCATACAGATGCGGATGAGGACGACGGTGACGAGCAGGAGGGCTGCGAGGATCATCTTGACGCTCGCAACACTCGAGAGTGTTGGCTTACGAGGGTACATTCCGGACCCGTGACCATTTTGTTCAGCTCGTTCAAGCACTCAATTGCCCGTGCGACCTAATAACAGCGATCACGCTTTATAGCACTACAATCTAAGAAGGATCCTCTTCATGACCTAGCTACATAGCCGATGGTTCGTTTCTTAAGCGAAAGGGTGGTGTTTAGAAACACCAGATGTAGGGAGACTTGACGTCTCCAGTTTGAGAGATTGCACTCGTCAAGCA